TGTGGTCTTACGAATTACCCATAGTGACCTCGGGGTTTTCGATCAAAAAATTCCAACCCGATACAATTACGAGCGAGCATGTGGGTGTTTTGACACATGTCTACAAAGACATTACGGTTTAAGCTACCTTGAGTTAATTCTCACCGCAAGATGGATCTGTCGAAAGAAAAAAAAACTCTGCAATGAAGCCCTAGAACGCGGTACAATATCTCATTTTATGGAGTATTATTTCAACTCTTATTGCCAGGTTTGCGAGTTGTACAGCCGCGAAAATATGCCAATTATACTAATATCGGTGACAGAGACTGAACCAGGGAAGAAGTAACAATTGACAATGGAGACCTGTGTTTGGCTAGTTCATTTGTGCCCCCAAAACGACCGCATATGAGGAGAAATAGGTTGCACAATAGCCTTTGTCAAAGCGTCATGTGACTTTATATCAATTGTTTAACGTGTAACGACACAGGTCGCTTACGACATATATTGTAAGATTTACGGTAAGCGCGCAGAGAGACGTGAACCGTAGTGAAGAGCATGAATTAGTAGTCCCAATTAATTTTCATTTGTAGAGTGGTTTAAGCGGGTAATAATGTACAGGAGGCGTGACTACCCAGGACGTAATAACGAGTATTTCGTTCTGAGAGGAAAGATTAAAGAGCTGTAGCAACCTACAGTTCTTTTATGCTCAACGAACCTCGGCTGTGATACCGCCAGTAGTACGTTCTACGACCCGTCGTACCCTAAGTAGAAATCATTATAACAAATTTCACCCATGATACTTACCCTTATACAATGAAAGTTGTATTAGTAGCATTTTATGTCGTGTTTACGATTAAACTATACCGCAAAAGAGGTAACCCTACCCGAAAACTGGATTCAGTACTGGGAGCGATTTTAGTTCATTGATTATTGCTCAACCTGAATTACGACAGGTCATTATCGATGTGGATAGGACGACGAAGAGTGCTTCTGTGCTTCTGGATGCTTCTGTAGACCTGTCGTGGTAAAACGCCGCGTAGTAAACATTGGGCGAAACGACGGTATGGTTAAGCAGGATGAGGGGAAGGTAGCTCGCGAGATGAAATCGAATTAAAGGTATGTTTCTGTGACGAATGATCTCATCCCCCCACCTGTGAAAAACAGAAGTACAAACATATGTTTGCGTGTGCTAAGATTTTGTGGCAGGCCCAATTTAAGCTGTATGACCCTTTTCGAGAAGAATTCCGACGACAAAGTCATCCAGTATTTAGAACTTGCTATAAATTCAGTTGTTTTATGTTTAACATTTTATTGGTTGCATTAGTAATTATAAATGACCAATGGTTGGTTCAAAACCCACCAGGAATACCACGCAAACATGGCAAAAGCTTGCAACTTACACGGGTATCAGATATTGTCAATGCAGAGCCTGTTACATCACAACAGTTCCTAATGCGTCTAAAAGAAGATTATGATGTTATAATACCGGTGTGCTATCAATGTACGGTACTTAGGTTTATATAAATGCAATTATTAAGACCAAGCCAAGCAACATTATACTGGAATTTACCGCATTTATTGCATTTTGAACGCAATATTAGAAAAAGTCTTATTTCTCGGATTAGAACTTGAGTCCTTACCTCTGCTTATAAAGGATTTTCGACGCTAGTCAAACCTGAGCAGAAGAAATTTCTTGGTGCGCTCCATCGTGATGAAACACTTTTGAAGCATACAACCCACTCCAATTTGTCGTGGATTGATAAGTATATAATGAGAAATACAACGACCGGTCAAGGTTAACGGTATGTGTGTATATATCCTAAGCAATAAAATATATGTCTATCTGACTGTCTGTCCAACTGTGTTTGTAATATATCTGGTTCTTGCTATAATTCCGTGGCCTGCTCATAAATTTGTCTGAAGTGCGAGAAACCATACTTTTGAATAGCTGATAGTGATTTATTCCGATGGGGCTTCAAGTGTTCGTTAGCGTGAGTGGCATGTTCATCTTCGCAATGAGATTTCTTCTTCCGGTCGTAATTCGG